CCTATATTCTATCTACTTGAAGGGGCACTACAGGGGCTTGGCAAACACGGATCATCCTCGGACCAGGACTGGGTCAAGCTGAACGAAGGCGAGCAGCACTTTGTGAAGCACGTTCTGGCATTCTTTGCCGCCTCCGATGGTACCAGGGCCTTCTACTGGATTTTGCATGGTTGGTTTTGTGAGTTTCTTGTTTAGGGACTGAGAGTATATCTAAAGCCCAAAGCGCCACAAACTATAGTAGTTTCCATTTTCTTTTCCATTAGAGTAGGTTCCATTTTCTTTTTCATTATCCCTACAGAAGTAGTTTCCATTTTCTTTTTCATTATCACTATTTAACCCCAACATACAATAGATATCTTAAACTCCAAACCTTAAGGGCGCAAGCCCCAAGCTAAAATCCCCCAAGCCTCAACCACTGCAACCCCCTGGTCTCACCATTAGTCCAGCAACTTCTGAAAGGTTGCCTACATCATCCTATTCATTTTTGGAGGTTTTATGGGTACTAAATATGATGTCCCTAAACCCTAAACCCTAAATGTAGCTCTATGAGGTTCTTATCCGATGGAGGTTTGCCTTTTTTGCCCTTCATCCAAAGAGATTTGTGAAGAAAGGCACCTGGGTATCATCACGGCGGTGCCCGTCCTTATGATTCTCCGTTTACCTCACTACTAGGACCACTTCTTCACCTTCTTCTTCGCTGCTTACTATAGTCCCCCTTAAGTACATAGAAGATGGGGTATATGGGGATCTTATTATAAGATACCCAAAGCCATATTCTATCTACTGAAGGGGGCCTATAGCTTTACTGGCCCCAATCCACCACGAATGGGGTTGCGCTCGAGGGTAGTTTTATGGAAGCAAGCCTCCGCCACATGAAGGCCCTTAGATCTTTAGGGTGTAGGGTTTAGGGTTTGGGCTTCACTTTGGGAACTGTCGATGTTGTGCAGCAACCAACAGTAGTATTTTTTTCGACTAATTGCTGTGAGTAATGCTTCAGGGGGAAGCCTTCAACCCACTTCCTAGAGCCTATGTAGCCCCATGACCCTGATCTGTAAAGTTATATCTTTTTGAAAGAAAGTATAGCCCTAAACTGTCCCTCACGACCCGAAACCCTAAACCCTATAGGGCTTTGCAAAGGCATTGTGCTTGAGAATCTGGCCGCGTCGTTCTCCACAGAGGTGCAGATCCCGGAGGCAAGGGCGTAGCTTGGCGAGAGTTTGTTCTTTTCCGTTTAGGGTTTAGGGTTTAAGGGTCTAGGTTCAGGTTTTAAAGTTGAAGGTTCAGGTTCAGGGTGTCTGTAGTAGGTTACCTGCAAATACTCCGCTGTGTGTTATGGTAAGCCTCGACATCATAGGAGGTTCTGGTAGGTCGTGCAGAAAAATCATCAGCCATAAACCATCGCTAAACCCTAAATCCTTGGGTAGCGTCGGGGCAAGAATCTCCAGTCCCTTTTTTGTTCTACATACTTGGGGGTACTCTTCTGTGATGACGTTCGTGCATCTAAGATTGGTCTGTGGGCAGTTAACTGGGTTGTTGTTAAGCAGCTGAAGGTAAGTTGCCCTACTATGGTTATATAGCAAAGAAAACGGTTTCCTTGTTATAGTAACTTACTTTAAGTTCCTTATCAACAACCCAAACCCTAAACCCTAAACCCTCAACCCTAAACCCTAAACCCTAAACCTTCAACCCTAAACGCTGAACCCCAGTTAATTTTGCAGGAAAGCCTTAAGCCTGGACCGAGGTTTTACGGCTTCCAAATTGCCATGGAAAACATCCACTCAGAGACCTACTCGCTTCTGATTGAGCAGTACATCAAGGAGCCAGCTGGGATTCGATACGCTTTGCAATGGTTTAGGGTTTAGGGTAATGTAGGGGTAATTACGAACGCATGGTCCCACATTCCTGCTAGAATTATGCGCTCGAATTTTGGATGATATTGGGAATGACTTAGGCGTCTCGTTCACACGAGATTATCAATCATGGTGTTTTTTTTAAGATGTATGCGCGTCAGAGGTTCTGATCAAGATGACTATACCCTGCATACTCTCGATATTCTCCCAATGTACTTCCTGTACATTTCTTGTGTATAATCCCTATACACTAAATCCTTGACTGAGGAAACCTTGAACTGTGCAGCAAACAGCTCCACATATCAGCGTTCCTGACAAGTTTTAGATGTCTCAGCCTCACAAAGCTAATTTCAAAGGTTTCATGGTGATATATGGGGTTATGTAGGGGTTACATGGGGACATGAGGGTTTACACCGAATAAAAGAGAGTCAAACGGACAAAAGATGGAACATGAAATGGAAGCTGAGTTAGTTTCCCTAGAGTTATTGGGGGCTTTATCAAACGCAAACGGTCCGTCCTTTGGGGTTCCTACTATGCTACGGGTCCCTATAGATGATTTTCCCCATTGTTGGGGACAGTAATTTTGGCCACTCCCTATGAGGGCCTTCATTTTTTTTGATGACGGTGCCAGCAAAGGGCCGGCATACCGCTGAGAACCCCGTGTACATGTGTATGCACATATACAGATATGTATATATATATATATATATATATGGTTGCCCCATGTGTGTGGGCATGTACACTCCCTCAGTGCGTATCTATATCCATATCTATGTATGTATGTACGTATGTACGTATGTATGTAGGTACGTACGTACGTAGGTATGTATGTACGTACGTACGTACGTAGGTATGCATGTACGTAGGTATGCATGTATGTATGTATGTATGTATGCATGCATGCATGCATGTATGTATGTATGTATGCATGCATGTATGTATGTATGTATGTATACACACAAAGCTGATTGAGTACGTAGATACATGCTGGTACATGGGGTTCGTATGTATGTGGAGGATCCTGCCGAGAAGGACAGCCTGTTCGACGCAATCCACACCATGCCGGCAGTGCAGCAGAAGGCCCAGAAAGCAGAGTTTGATATCTAGGCTTTGGGGCTTGGAGATTAAGGGTTTTGTGTTGTTTGGGCAAGGGTTTCTCAGATTTCATGCGGGGAGTATACCTGGAATATGCCTGAGGTTGCAAGGTGATTTCTGGAAAGTGTGGGCCCCTTAAATCCTGAATCTCCAGGTCATTGGCCCCAAGTCTTCAGCCCTACGCCCCAAGTCCTAAACCCCAAGGCCGAGGTTCGTAGCCCTAAGCCCTAAACCCAGGTTCTAAACCCCAAGCCCTGAAACCCTAAACCCTAAATCCTAAACCCTAAACCCTCAACCCTATTAGGGCTTAGGGTTTAAGCTTTCGGGTATAAGGCTGCCTTGAATCTGAGTAGAGGCTCTTTGGGCCGTCCAGTGGATGAACCGGGAGAGCAGCTTCACCGAGCAACTTGCTGATACACAGTTGGGCCATATGTACCCCTATGTAGGGTATTTAGGGTTATGTAGGGTATGTAGGGTTATGTAGGGTTTAGGGTTTGGGGTCCCTGGGTTGAGGCTTTAGGGTATAGGGTTGGGCACTGCCCCCATATGTACTATAGTCTAAACTCCTTAAAGGGGGGTTATATAGGGGATTATATAGGGACTATTATGTGGGATATTAAGGGGGATACTAGGAGTTTAGACTATAGCTCATATACATGTTTAGGGTTAGGGTCTTAGGATATTTTATTTGGGGATACTATGGTACCCAATATAGAGTAAGATCATATCCTCCTTTTGGGGTATAGTATCTTATATAAGGAATATAATCTTACTGGGTTTAACCACTAAGACACGATACTCAGTTAGACCATGTACGTCTTTAGGGTTTAGGGCTTAGGATTTCGGGCTTAGGGGTTTCAAGGCCCCTGCATAGGATTCTTGGGCGGATTATAGTATAGCTGTGCAGGAAATTCCCTGGAATCATTCTAGTACAAATCCAGGCACTTGCAAAGCGATAGGAAAGCCCATACCTTAGGAGGATCCCCCACCCTGTAATAGTGGTATTTTAGGAATATAGGAGGACCCTGATGTAATCAGCATTATCCCTTATAGTCACTATTTCAGGTGGGGGGTCAACCTAACCCGTTTTTTGCTAGTGCCGTGCGCGTGACTGCTGCGCGTGCGTTGGCACTTCTCCACAAACGAGCGAATTCCGCATCTGTCTGGACAATTACGTGCTTCTAGTTAGGTTTGGCGTAATGGTCCTGTTGCCATACATGCGGGACATAGCGCTGCGTTCTAACTACGAGCCAGTATGGCCACCTAACCCGTACTACTCTTTCTTTTGTAAAGTTGCTTCCTGGCCTGGTTATACTGGAAGACCATAGATTTTAAGATGTGAGGTACTTGGGGTTCGGCAGGATTTCGGACATCAACCCTAAACCCTAAGCCTCAGACCCTAAACCCTAAAAACTACTTAGGGTCACGCAGAATTTCTAGCAGCAGCTGTCCGAACCCTGTGGTTTAACCTTAGGCCGAGGCCTGACTGGTGTGTAAGGGAGAGTAGGGAGGGGATCCCTTTATTAACCCTGCTCACAGAATTCCCTATATCACTTATCAATATAATCCGCATATTAATCCTAGTCCTGTCATAGTTCCGGATAACAGTGCTTGTATTCAGTCCCACCAGTAAGGGTCCTGAAATCGCACGTCATTCCCGAGGAGACTGGTTGCCTTCGCTGCTGTCGAGGGCATCCTCTTCAGTGGCTCCTTCTGTGCCCAGGGTCGCGACTAGTGGAGGTTTTTGTGTACGGTGTGCTGTCTCGGGGTTTCCGGGCTTAGGGCCTTAATGACCACAGCTAGGGTTTTCAGGAAGGTTCGTGGCAGGGCACACTGCTGCTAAGGGAAAGATTTTTGCACTTCGCCTTCTCGTCTGTGAGCAGTGTTCACCAATCAACCCAATTGGTGAGGTGCTTTAGGGTTAGAAGCCCTAAGCCCTACATCCCTCAAAAGCCCTAAGCCTAAACCCGACTTCGGCAGCCCGAAGCTCTAAACCGCAACGGTTGCTTTCACGTGATCATGTTGGGTTGGTGCTGGGAGATTTGCGCCGCAGATGACACCGGATTTCCATAGTCAAGGGGCCGCAATATATATCCCAATAATACAACCTCTGTTATTGGGTCTTCCCAAACTGGGCTCTCCATTTTTAGATTTCGGAAACCACGACATTATCCGAAACCCTGGTCCCTAATCCCTATGTTTATTTGCCTGTACTACCAGACCTTGGCGGCTGTCACTGCCATTAGCAGCACTAAGCTTGATAGTAAAGGGTTCAGGGTTCAGGGGTTAGGTTTAGGCATGACCCCTAAGTATCTACTACCTTGGGAATTATGTGATCGCATTGATTGTATGTTGAAAAAATGCAAGGATATTTGGTATGAACAGCAGCTACTCTCCTAAACACTAGCCCCCAAACCCTGAGCCCTTAACCCTAGACCCTAAACCCTGATATTCTTGTACCCAGGTGCCCTCTTTTGGCTGAAGAAGAGAGGCCTGATGCCAGGCTCCTCAATGAAATGGAGCTAGTGCTGGTTTAGGGTTTGGAGTCTGCCACTCAGAGGCAGAGGGGATTTAGCAACCAGGTTGTTACGGGGGTGATATACGGACAAGCCCCAACATTATTAGTTTTTAGCAATCGCATGTACAGCCTACTTACTAACCAAGTCCCCCGGGCCTTCAAGCATGGTTGAGGGTTTAGAGTTTCGGGGTTTGGGTTTAGGGTGGGTCGCGTAGGAAGAGGAAAAGATTCATTGTCTCCGTGGCAGTAATCATCGGACTCTCTCTTAGGATTCTTGAGAAGCATTGTTCTTCTTGAAATAACCTACGCAAGAAAGACTGTCATGGGGGGCAGATTCTGGACTTTTTACAGGCAGTTTCAAGGGTCCTGCATTCTGTAAATGCTGTACTGAGGTAACTGAGGGACAGCTCAAGATTGCCCTGCCACATGGTGCGATGGAAGCTTCCGGAAGCAGAGAACATGTAAATGGAAAGCCCATGAGTACTACCCCCCCCCCATGTCCGTGACTTTCTATCCACTTTCAGAGGACGGTAAGCACAAGAGCTGAAACAACCTCCGAAGCCAAGACCCGCGAGATCGAAGCTGCGCACCCCAAAGCCTGGAACCCAAACCTTAACTTAGCTCCTGACCGTCTTAACCTCCAAACCCTAAACCCTACCTGGACCCCAAAAGTATGTAAAACTCTGGCCTTCATGGCTATTATTAGGGGTTTAGGGCTATCATTTTACATACTGTTGGGGTTTAGGTAACCTAAACCCTAAACCCTAGGCCTGACCTTCTCCAATGAGCTCATCTCTCGCGATGAGGGCCTCCACGCAGACTTCGCCTGCCTGTCCCATGGCATGCCTTGTTCATGGGGTTTAGGGTTTAGGGTTTAGGATGGTTTAGGGGGTGAGGGTTTTTCAGAAATTACTGGGAGTTTTACAGGGGATGTATGGGCTATGAAGGGCTTTAGTATAGGAGTTACAAATACAAACGTTATGTAAGCATGTATTGGGTTTCGGGTTTGCAACAATCAGGGACCCGTTTTTCAAGACTCTCTGCAATGTAGCATGTCGGGGTCTATTTGGGGGCCGCCGATTTCTGGCAGCCCAGGGAAGTGTGGTGCTTGGGTTTACCCAAAATGGCATCATACGCTCATATGACAAAGACGGAAAATCAAATGGAAACTGGGAACCCTAAAAGCGGGAGGTGGGATGCCCTAAGAGGTGGGGAGGGTCCCTTTGGGGACGTAGTTCCCAAGCATATTTATGGTACGTGGTTCCTCCCCAGATTGAAGCGAGGGTTGGGGTTATTCAAGGCTTTCATTTTAAGGGCTTGTTACAGATGCACTGCATGGAGGTTTCTCAAGCTTTTTCTGGGAATTCTGTAGTAAGCATTATGTCATTCCTACCTCAAAGCCCGAATCCAAAGGCTCTATGGCATGCTGGAGCACAAGCTTCCTGAAGATGTTGTGCATGAGATGATCCGCGGAGCTGTCGAGGTCTGCATCGGGGCTTTCAAGCGCTACATGTTTTTTTGGGGTTTATGGGTGTACGAGGCACTCCCACTGGAGCAATGTATGTACTTGTCTCTTAAACAGCAAACATGCACAACAATTTCCTGAGCCTCTCAAGAACTGCCAGAGGTGGAGCGAGAGTTCATCTGCGGGGCCCTCTCCTGCGATCTCATTGGCATGAACAAGGACCTTAAACCTTCTTCCAGGTTATCCAAGATCGCAAACGTACATGACGTAACTTTAGTCCTAGCTAAACTTCTAGAACCTTAGTCCGATGTATCCCTATATGCCCCTATGAACCTTTTAAAGTTCCCTCAAACCCTAAATCTCGCAAGGACCTGATGACTCAGTACATTGAGTTTGTGGCCGACCGCCTGTTGTCCGCCCTGGGGCACAGCAAGATCTTCAATTCCACGAATCCTTTCGACTGGATGGAGACAGGGTTTACGGTTTAGGGTGCGGCTTCTTATCTACCTTCACGGCTAAGTTAACGCGGCATTCTTTTCAGGATTTGTCACTGTATTTTGGGCCCAAATACACTTCAGAAGAAGCTTCCTGGCTTCACATTCCTGGTGTGTGAGTCAGGAGATGATCTCCCTGCAGGGCAAGACCAACTTCTTCGAGAAGCGTGTTGGAGAGTACCAGAAGCTATGCTTTGCTTGGTGCAAGGTGTAGGGTTTAGAGTTCGTTGTGCCTGTTGCATTCTACCCCCCACCCCCCCTCAATATTTCCTTCAGGCACGGGAGTTGCGATCAGATACTTCGTGCTGTAAATCCCTTGATAGGCAGCGCTTTCCTAGCAAAGAAGCCCCCAAGCAGCGCAATTCTTTATTTCAAGGTCGAGATAATTGCAAAGGGGTTAGCCGTTGGTAGGGCAAGATTTTGCAGAACATGAAACATGGGAAGGGGCCTCTGTTTGGCAAGCTGCCATACAAGAGTGTCGGCTCTTCTTAGCTGCTAGCTCCCGTAGCGCCTGTAGAGGATACCCCAAAAGCTAAACTTCAATACTCAGGCCCAAACCCTCACCCCTACTGCTTTCTTGAAAAACATACATGTTTACATACGCATATGATACATTAGTGTATACCCAACATATCCCTGTAACCCCTATGTAAAGGCGCTTGCAGTCCACATCTATATATACATATGTATATATATATATATACATGTGTATGTATATCTTTCTATACTTGAGGCCCATGGCACTTAGTGACTACTTATAACTGGGACTATAACCCGACTAGAAACTGGGGTAGCTGAAAGCCCATTTGAGGGGATTATAAGTAGGGTTATAAGTCCAGTTCTAAGTAGTTACTACATCCAATTCGCCTCCAAGTAGACCCCTAAACCCTAAACCCCAAACCCTGAAAACTCCAAGGGGTTGAAAGAAACCTAAACCCGAAACCTAAACCCTTAGCACCTAGACCTAGAGATATAACCCTAAACCTTAAACCCTGAACCTTAAACCCTAAACCCTGATCCTTAAACCCTAAATCCTGAGCCCTAAGCCCTAAACCTTAACCCCTAAACCCTAAACCCTGGGATCGCCTAACCGAGGAAGGCCGGGGTGATGGCGGGTCAGTCGGATCCCCTCACGGCGTTCGCGCTGGATAAGGACTGTTAGTTGGGAAAGGGGTGGGGTTAGGGTTTAGGGTTTAGTGTTTAGGGCTTAGGGTATAGTTGGGAAAGGGGTGGGATATGAGCTCTAGGGGGGGGTTGTTTTGTGGGGGGATTCTGTGGGGGATTACTGTAGGGGTTACCAAGGGGGATACCAGGAGTTTAGACTATCGCTCATATGTGAAGTGACTAGTGTTTAGAGTATAGGGTTTAAGGAATAGGAGGTTGGAGATGAGGGTTCAGGGATTAGGTAGGGTTTAGGGTTCGTAGATTAGGGTGTAGGGTTTCCAAAATGTTTGGGGGTATGTATGAAGGTATATGGGGGATTTGTGGTGCGGGTGACTCATATTTTAGAATTTGCTAGCTTATGGCTTTTAGGGCATGGAAGTTCATGGGACGCAGTGACTAACCACTTAGAACTGGGCCTACAAACCTACTCATCATTGGCGTAAGCCTGGCTATTCAGGTGGAGTATAATCCGGGTTCTAAGCCCACTCATGAGTGGTTACAACTCCCATGAACCCTAGGCCTTAAACCCTAAACTCTATACATCTCTAGATAACCGGCTTGAAAGGGACAGTAAGGCTTGAGGTTGAAGGTTTGGGGATTAGATTTCAGGTTTCAGGGATTCAGTCTACACTGGATAGTTGTAGCGGGTCTTGGATTTAAGGAGTTTCCCAAAAGCAAATGATTCGAGAGCTGCACAGCATGATAACTCTCCGCTAAATTCGCCTCAATTAACCCTAAATAAGTCAAATTCAGGGAGTGGTATAGAGGGGGGGTCTTAGCCCTAAACACTAAACCCTACATTGCAGTTGTAGATGCTGTACGGTGTTTAGGCTGGCGCTTTGTGAGTGGATTTTGATTTGAGCTACAATCAATTCCTTAAAAGGGGGCTCTCTAGGGATTATATAGGGGACCATTATAGGGGTTATTAAGAAGGGGGTGCCAGGAGTTAAGATGATGGCTCATATAGGGTTGCAATGGGGCTGAAGGCACCGTGTAGAGACTTTTGAAATCATGCTGATGTTTCTTACGGCAGTACCATGCATTACCTTCTGCGTGCAGAACCGTCAGCTCTTCGCCAGAAAGGCCACCCTAAGCCCTGAGCCCAAATAGTACTCAAACCCGCATCCATTCTTCAACCTGGGGGTGTAGGGTTCTAGGCAAGCATGCAACATAGCTTACCGAGAAGCCATGGCGATCTGATCACGAAGCCTTCTCCAACCCATTGCTTCTGTTTGGGGCTTTGTGCGCAGGCGATGACCTCTTGCAGGCTAAGTGGCAGGTGTGCCTATGAAAAGCGGATAGACCTGAAAATACAAGACCCTAGACATCGCACCCAAACTGCTTATGACGCGAGGGGCGTGAGGTAGGTTGGTATACATACAGCTTGGCAGAACGTCTCTTACCCCTTTCTTATAGCCCTCTGCCTTTCTTCGTCTGACTGCGACCCACATCTTAGCGAGGCTGTGTATTAGGAGTTTCGACAGGGCTTCATCTGCTTCGTCATAGGCTAGTCTTGTATGCGCAATTTGGCAATTTGACATTATACTTTCAGCCAGCAGGCCCGCATAGCTTGAGGACCCAACACTGTGCAGCGACTAGGCTTGCGGGCAGTCGCGGAGGTCTGAATTCTCAAGTCCTGAACCCTACCCTATAATCTCAAAATGGGTTCGCCTTGTCGTATAAGTTTCCGTTATGTCAGGAACATAGACATTAGCGAGCTGACCTGAAATCCGCAACCCTAAGCTCTACATGCCGCCAAATTTCTCCCTAAACCCTAAACCTTGGGTACTGCCCCCGCCCAGTAAAAGTTTATATTAAGGGTCCTATTAAGGGCTATATATAACCATATTAGAATTATTATCCAACTGTTACTGAATGGGGGCAGTATCCAANNCCCTAAACCCTAAACCTAAAACTTTCAGCCACCAGGACTTCTAAAGTCCTGAGTGCGCATGCCACCCGGCCGGCTAAACGCTTCTGCCACGACGCTTAAGCTCTAAACCTTGGCCATGCGCCAAGAATTAGGGTTCAGGGTTTAG